ATTTTTTGCTTTGTATCTTTTGAGCTACTTTCTGACTTGATTCCTGGTGAATCGAGCACTTTATCATTATGTTGTAATCAACGCCTATCTCCACTGATGCATTGTTTTGTATCAGAATAGCCACACAGGCTCCCATTGGGTATTTGTTCCCTCACAACTTGATTCATCCTTTTACTTTCCAACTTTTCGGGTCCTTTTTCTTGACCTATGTTTCTTTGAACACCATGTACCTGGGTTTTTTTTTAATATTCCCCCTTAACATCTCTTACCTTTTAAGTAGTCAGTTTAGTCCATTTATGTTTATTATAATTATTGATATAAATGCCCTCAGCAAGTAAAAAGTAGTTGAATGACAAGTATATGAAGTATGTGGTATAGACTGTTCATAGAAATGTTACAGAGGAACATGTACTATAACCACAGAAATGTAGCACTGAATTGTAATTAAGGATTTTATCGTAAGTAAACTGACATATTTAAGATCTATTATTACTGAGGAAAGCATGTGACCTGCTTTTTTTTATCATAATTGAACTCCACATTCTAATCTACTTACAGCACAAGCATTTGGTTGGTCCTGAGACAGGAAGGGAATATAACAAAGCTGATGTCAGCAGATCCAAATATTTCAGTGCCTAGTGAGATCTCTCTCTCCACTGGAAGGAAGTATATCCACTCTAGTTTCAGTTTCCTGTTGCTGACCTGAAGTTTTACCACATGCACTTTATTAGTCTGCTTTTCATTGTGATAACAAAATACATAAGCTCAGGTATTTTGCAAAGGGGTTTACTTAGTTCATGGTTTTGGGAGAGGAAAGTCCAAGACTGGGTGGTCCCATTGATTTGGACTCTGGTTAGGGTCACACGTGATGACAGCACAATGGCAGGAATACTGCAGACATGACGAGGCGGGAGGCAAAAGCCTGAGGAAGAGCCAGTCGCGCTTTCTTTGTAAGGGAGCACCCACTGTCTTTGGCACTAATTGGAGTTATATGAAAAATCAGGAATTGGGCTGGCAGAGTGGTTCAGGTGGTAGAGCTCCTGCCCAGCAAGGTGAGCCCCTGAGTTCAAACCCCCTTGCTGAGACAGAGAGAGAGAGAATGAGAGAGAGAAGTCAGGAAATCTCTCCATGGAGAGCAATGCCTCCATGACCTAATTCCGTCCACCATCTGTCAATGTCACCACAGGGAGACAAAAGTGAACGCCAGTGGCTCAGGCCTACTACTCAGGAGGCAGAGAGCAGAAGGATTGAGGTTCGAGACCAGCCAAGGCAAATAGTTCTCAAGACCCTATCTTGAAAAAAACCCATCACAAAAAAAAGGCTGGTGGAGTGGCTCAAGTGGTAGAGCACCTGCCTAGCAGTTGTGAGGCTTTGAGTTCAAACCCCAGAACTGCCAAAAACAAAAAGCTTCTGGCCTATGAAGCTTGGTGAGACACACATAAGCCATACTGAACCATAGCACTAATGTTAAATAATGCCTGACCCCTCCCTCAGCCCTGCAAACGCAGGGCGCAGATCCCCCAGTCTCTACGCCCTGACTCCAGCATTTTAGACCTGCCTCCTTCACATCACAAATGAAACTGTCTCCAACATAACTTTTTTATGAGTGTTACCTACATTTACCATTCCATACACTCGCCGTTCCTTCCCACACCTCAGGCTAACCTGCAATCATTTTCCTTCTTGAAATACATCTTTCTGAAGTTTCTTTGGATGGTTCTCAGCTTTTATTTACCTGCAAATGTTGAAAGCAGTGTGTTTCTTTTGTTTTCTTTTCTTTTTGTCTTGGTTCTTGAAAGTTTTTTTCTGGGCATGAGTCTAAGCTGACATTCGCCTGTTCTCATCACTTCAGAGATATTATTCCAGTCTCTCAGCCTCTGTCATGGCTGTCGAGAAGCCAGCTCACGTTCTGTCATCCCTTTGGAGACAACATGTCCCTTTTCAGTGACTGCTGTCATCATTTCTCTGTCTTTGGCATCCTGTTGTTTCAATAAAGTACGCAAAGCCTCGATTTATTTTTACATATTAAGCTTGCTATAGTCTGTGCTTCCTGGTTCCGTGGGTCTGCTTTTCACCACTTCTAGAAATTTTGCAGCCATTTCATCTTTAAATATTGCCTCTTTTCCATTCCCTTTATTGTCTTGTTTTGGAACTCCTCTATATAAAATTTTCGTCTTCTATTCTTTGTAGCTCTTAATCACTCTTCATGTTATCATCTCTGTGCTGCATTCTTTTTCCCCCAGTTCTGTGGAGCAAACTCAGGACACTGAGCATGCTAGGCAAGTGACTTACCACCAAGCTACATCCCCAGACCATAGCCAGTCTCGAACTCAAGATCCTGCCTCACCGTTCTGAGTGCTGAGATTATATGTATGCACCACCAGGCCTGGCTTTGCTTCATTCTTTATAAACAACTTCTGATTCACAAATTCTCTATTCATCTATTTATTGTTCATTGAATTTTAGATTTTGAAATTATAGTTTTCATTCTAGAATTTCCATTTTTTCTTCTAATTCTCTCTTTGTTCCTACTCATCTTTGTCATCATGCCTCTTATTTCTTTAAACATCTCCTATATGGCTCTCACCATTCTGTTGCCGAAGAGCTACATCTGGTGCTTCTTTTGTGTCTGCTGACTCTCGCTCATGGTGACTTACCTTCTTGTGACTTGGAAAGATTTGTATGGAACCCCACTGCTTGACCTGACTCAATGGGTGTCTTCTTGCTCTAACCTAGGGAAGCTCGCCTCCATGTAAAGTTTGCTTTTCTCTCTTGCAGAGGGCTCCCAAGCCCAGGACCACCCCAGCCCCTTAAGACCTTTACCTCAGAGGAGCCTCACCTTCCCTCTCCCCGACCCCTAGTGCTCTTCAAGTTCACTATCACCACATGAAAACATGGCTATGGAATTCTAGCCTTGGGCTCAGCCAGTTCAGACCAGCTTGCCAACCCTCTCCTGCACCCCTGGGTCTATTCTTCAGTAGCCCTCTCCTGAAACCTAGGCTCCTGTCCCAGTCCCCTCAGCCTCCTTTATTTTCTTTATAGCACATGTCACCATCTGTCATATCTTATATTTATTTGTTAAATTGCTTCTTGCATGACACCCACACACACTAGAAGGAGATGGCTTGTTCATTTATATATCCTTAGCAGCTAGTGCAGCGCCCAAAATATAAGTGTTTAGCAGTAATGTGACAGATGAACGAGCAAATGAGACACAGCACCTGTCCCCCAAATGCTGTCAATCTGGCGGCTCAGACAGACAGGAACCGTTGTTAAGATGAAGAAATAATACCATGGGTGGAGAGAGACAAAAGAAGGCCCCACCTCGGAGGGAGGTCAGGGAGCATGTCCTGGACCAGTCTGCGCAGGGAGGGGCAGGCGTAGAGGGTTGCAAAGCTGAGACTTTTCATTATTCCTCAAATGAAAGGCATAAGGGATGGTACTCCAGACAGGGACCTGTCCAAAGACAGGAAAGACGCTATGGGGGAAGTGAAAGTAGTTCAGTGTGGCAGGGGAAGAGGATGAGGACAGAGTGAAGGAGATGGGAGAGATGGGGGCATTGGACCTCAAGCTCTCATGGGGAGTTTGGCAGTGAGAAAGGGACGGAAGAGTTTCAGCGGGGGAGATTACGGTCAGGCTACAGGATGGAAAATTCCCTCTGGCTTCTGGGTAAAGTTGGAGCTGGGAGCGGGGAGGCAGGAAGGCCTGTGAGGAGGTTCTGCAGAGGATGGAATCTTGTTCTTAATCAGAGCTGATAGCAGGGCATCTCAGGGCAGACCTTTGGGGCTTCTGGCAGTGGTCTTGGTTGGCAATAGGAACACAAGGAGAAGCCCCAACTGTAGTAGGCTGTGAGTGAGTGGGCTCACTTGGTGGGCACAGGGGCTGCCCAGTGAGCATTGGTGGGTTTATTTCAGAGGTAAAGGGTCCACATCCTGACTCCTGCACCAATGCTGGCTTCAACAAAGTTGCCAGATTTAGCAAAAATAAAAAAATATATATAGGACACCAGCTAAATTGGAATTTCAGATAAACAACGTATCATTTCTTAGTGTAAGTATGCCTCCAAAATTGGGCTTCCTGTGTTTTATCTGGCAATTCTGCTTTCAACGACTCCCCACCACACCCACACTCATTCTCACAGCCCCTGTCCCTCACAGCGTCCCCCAGACTGTGCCCTGTCTTCCTGACAACCTAGAAGCCACCAGGAGCTGGCCCCAGTGCCCCATCTGGGCTGGGCCGGGACTCCTGAGGGGAGGGCTGGAGGCCCCTGGCCTGGGACAGTGAAATCTCCCTCGGTGCCTCCCCCCACCTCCGTCGGCATATTTCCTGGCAGTGGTAACTGCCCAGTGCATGGCACAAGCTTGGGGCTGTTTCCTGCACCCATCCTAGGCTGCTGCAACCACATCCTCTCTCAGGTGGCTGGGGCTTGCTGGGGGTCTTGAGACTGGGGTACTCTCAGCAAGGCCCCTCTTAGCGGAAGCCTGGACCACTTCCTCCCAGAGCTACCTGAGATCCCATGAACCTTCAGCCCCCTCGTTAGCATGGGGACCTGGCACAAGTCAGGAGTGGACTGAAATAGGGGTCTCTGATGGGGACTCACCCTGAGGGAGATGGGGGTGCTGTGCTAGGGACCAGAGTGGGCAAGAAGCCTTCTCTTCTAAAGGGGAAATCCGGGAGTTTCCTGGAAGAGCGCTGGGGAATTGGGAGTTGGGGGACATGTGGGGACAGCCCAGAGGCTGCACTGTGTAGGGACTATCCCTACAACAGCAGAAAGGCTGAAGCAGGGACCCTTCTAGGGAAAGTGGGGAAAGGGACCAAAACAAGGATGGTGGGCTGTACTTAAGGAGGGGATAGAAGGAGATGCACACCTGAGCCTGGGGTCTGCCCAGCATGGCCTCCCACTCAGCTGACAAAAACACTAATGATGTTTTTGTTACAACAGTAACAAAAACACTAATGATAACCATGACAATTTATTAAGCACTGAGTCTGTACTAAGCCTCTTTATATAGACTCTTTTCCTGAATCTTCAAAATAGCTACTATGATTGCTCTTGTTTACAGATGGGAAAACTAAGGCACAGAGAGGTGGAGTGACTTGTCCACCATCACAAGGCGTGTGAACCCAGGCTGTCTGGCCCCAGAGCCTGCACCGCTCACCAGCTACCCCTCAGGAGGTCAGGGATCCCTCTCCATTCCCTTGCTGTGAGGTTCGAGTTAATAAAACTCTGCTGGTGGCCTGGGGCTGGGCCCTGAGAGTCCACCCCAGTCAGCTGTTCCGGTGCCTGGAACACAGGCCACCAAGAACCTCTGGTAGCTGCCCTGAGGAAAGAGATAAGTGAATGTGTGAACAAAGCTGGCATTTCCCTGTGGTCACTCAGCCAGCACAGTCTCCAGCTTGGTGCATGGTGTCCGCAGACAGGTGACAGCAGCTGTTCAGCGCAGTTCAGGAGCCAATGCCTCTGCACACAGGCCAAATGCGCCCCCTGCTGTCCTTCCTGAGAAAAGCACGGCTTCCGTAGCTTCCCCCACATGGTCTAGGGCAATAGTGTGATTCTCTGCAATTATGGTCAGAGCTTGGGATTTTGAACTCACACCATCATGTCTACAGGGAAAAATTCAGTTCTGCTCAGTCACCTAATACCCAGCTTTCTGAGGCCCAGCTGCCTCCGCTACAGGGAAAGAGGCGCTCTCGTCTACACTGGAAAGCCCCGTGGCCTTGTCTGCTGCTCTAAAAAGGTCTTGGGAGTGCAGGCAGAGGAGGCCCTGGGAAGGACTGGACTTCCTGATCTTAGGGAAGGGTGGGATTGGAGTTGGAGTAGGTCATCCTTGGGGATTAAAGAAAAAGGGACCTCAGGCACAGGCTGGTGAGGACATTGGGTGGGTCCCTCAGCACTGGACAGGGACCATGGACCAGGCAGAGTCTGGTCCTCCCCGGGAAGAAGGTAGAGATCAGCCCCCAACAAACAGATGGAGACTGTGGGATGAAACCAGAGTGGGACCTCCCCCCACGCTGACACTCCTCCTCTCTAGTCTTAGTCACTGTCACAAAGCTCCTGGGTTAGGCAGGACCCCAGCCTCTTGCCCCCATGTCACAGATGTAGAAGCTGAGGGTCCATAAGAAATGACAACTGCAGGGTCACACAGTGAGCTCCTTGACTCTAGGCCAATGCTCTGACCACAGCCTGGCCTTAGAGAGAATGTCAGAGGAGGCAAAGCCTACCCTGTCCTCTGGAGGCAGTGGGGGACATGTAGGTGGGAAAGGTGCCTTGGAGGGCACAGGAGCCTCTGGAGTCCAGCTGTGGGCCTGTCACCTTCTCTGGTGGGAGCCAGGGCCTCAGGCTGCTGCAGCCAGAATAGCTGGGTCTCTGGGCCAGGAAGTGGGATCAGTGCATCATCTGCGAGGAGCTGACCGTCTGAGAGGAGCTGACCACCTCCATCTCTGACTTGGCTTCTGCCTGTGAGTGGCACCTCTGGGAGCAGAACCACAGGAAGAGGAAGAAACCTGAAAGAAAAGTTTGGCTGGTAAGAGCATCACCAAGCCGCCAGGAGCCTTGTCCAGAACCCAGGACCTCCACAGCTGGGGTGAGTGAGCCTCCCGGGGATCATGAGAAACTTGCAGAACCTTCTCTGCTACTGGGAACAAAGGGACAGACTCTAGTTGCTGGAGGACCCATACCCTGGCCCAGAGGTGTCTTCATGCCAATCAGAAGCAGTGACCTTCCTCTGAGCAGAAGTGCCCTCAGACCAGCTGGGTGAGTGGAGCCTTGAGCTCAGCCCCTCATTTGCCCTTGACCTGAAGTCCTTTGGTGGTAAGCATCCTACCAGCTTTCGCCACCCCATGGCTTCCTGCAGCTCCTACCGTAGAGCGAGTTGAAAGTGGTGAAGAGGAAGAGCTGGGGCAGCAGGAAGGCACCGAAGGAGAAGAAGGCCAAGGCCCAGGTGGTGCCAAGCAGCACAGTGAGGCCCAGCACAGTGACAGTGTCCCGGCAGGCCTGGGAACTCGATGCCTTCTGCCTAGCTTGCAGCCTGTGCAGAGCCCACAGAGCCCAGGCCAGTACAACCAGGTTGAACAGGGACACGAGGCCACCATAGCCTATGACCAGGACACTGTGTACCACGGGGTTGCACACCCAGCACCTGCGGGACAAGAATGAAGGACAGGGTCAGTGAGACCCCAAGACAGGCAGGAGGCCAGGTACATTGGCCTTGGGACTGCCTCTTGGTCCCACCTGGTCTTTCCACTCCAACCCTTGTCACTTGCCTGATGGTACACAGAGCAAAGCCCCTCACCCAGCTTTCCAGCCAAGCCACCATGAGACGAACCACCTGGTCACTTTCTGAAGCACCACCATGCCTGTCTTCGAGCTGTAGTGCCCTCTTCTCATGCCTCCACGCCTGACACAGCCACCTCTCTTCTCTCCTCGACACATCTAGTTTCCTTCCCCTGCCAGCGACAGTCCCAGGCCAACTTGTACAATGTCCTTTAGGATTGTTGGCCTGGGCCCCCTTCCAGGATATACCCCCTTCCACCCTACCACAGGATTGTCACCATCTCATCACTGTCTTTGTGCAAAGACCTCACCCCACACCAGAAGCCTCCCTGCCTGGACTGGGCCATCAAAGCCTTCCTGGGGCAAAGCATGAGGCACCACCCCATGGCTCTGTAGAGGGGACTCTTCATTTGAGAGAGGGGGTACAGAAGGAGAGGAAGGAAACCCCAGGAGGGCGCAGCCTGAGCTCCATGGAGGTCTGACAAACCCAGCCCTGGGCTTAGGCCTCCCTGTAGCTTTCAGACCTTTGCCTTCCAGCACACCTTCAAGGCAGGTGCTAGCTCACACCTGAGTGAGACGCAGAGTCGCACCCCTTGAGTGGACTATCCCAGGCAATCCTCCCCATGTGGTTCCCAGGCTACTCCCTTCTGCTGTAGGAAGTGTTTTGTAGGAGTAAAAAGCTTCACGTGGTAGGACGTAGGAGCCTGGGGCCCACTTCTGCTGCATCCTACAAGCCCTCTACATACTGAGCTCAAGCCCCACAGCGTCCCTGGCTCCAGCCCCAGCAGATCTAGAGGAGCCCAGGGACAGCCTGAGGGCAGAGCCATTGGGCACAGGCTGAGCTCCAGGATGGTTCTGGACCTGGCAGCTATGTGGCCCAGCTGTGTGTTACCAGGAGGCAAAAGACCCAGCAGCCCTGGCCCTGGAAGTTGGGCCACAGAGCACAACACGACCCTGCAGGAGACCCAGCAGGAGACCCAGCAGAAGGGTGGGCAGAGTCCCCTGGAAACCTCCCCTCACCCCCAGCCAGGACCTGGCCTACAATGTAACCCACTCAGAGTCCCAAGGCCCATGTGGTCCTCCTGCCTGAACCAAAAAGACCATGCAGCTCAAAGGGCACTCACATGGACACGTTCTGGATGCCTGTGCCATTTTCCTGGCTGTTGGAGAGGGGGATTACACAGGGTCCGTATGCAGAGCTCTTCACAGCAAGGAGAAGCAGTACCAGGACAGCCGGGACCCCTGAGGATGGAACAAGATCTCAGGAGGCCTCTGGTCTTGGGCATCTAACAGAGAAGTCTCTGTCCCCTTCCCTTGTCCAGGGAAGACCACGCTGAGCTCCAGTCCTGCTTGGGGTCCAGTTGCAGAGCCGGGAGCCTGGTGGTCTTGCAGGAGACTCTTTTCCAAAATGACATTAGTGAAGTGACAGCTCTAGAATGCAGTGGGAGTGGGAGTGGGAGTGGTCACCCAAGAAGGTAGTGGTGAGACCTAATGGGAGATGGGCTTGGGAACTAGTGAGTAAATGCAGACAATAAAGAAGGAGGCTGAGGTGGTGATGGAGGCTCCCATGATGGCGGTGAGGTGAGCTAAAGACGGGGATGGTGGCAACGGTGAGCTGGTGGTGGGATGTAGTAAAAGTAGTGGTGGTCATGGAGACGGAGGAGTGGGGGTGATGGCAGTGGTGATGCGGTGGGAGAAGCAGAGGTAGGGATGGGTGCCGAGATCGAAGTGGGGATGGGGCAGTGGAAGGGGAGGGGGAAGTGATGGTGATGTGGTGTCAGAGGTGGAAGTGGTGATGGTGTTGGATATGGAGGTGGAGTTAATGGTGGTGTTGGAGGTGGAGGTGGAAGTACTGATGGTAGTGGTGGAGGTGGAGGTGGAGATGGCAGTGGCTGTGGAGGTCGTGGTGGTGGTGGATATGGAGTGGAGGTGATGGTGGCAATGGTGGTGGTGGAGGCGGAGATGGCAGTGAGACCTGTACTATAGAAAACAGTAGTGGATGTTGACAGGGATGATAGCTGGTGGCCCTAGAGCGTTCACTATGATGAGGAAGAGAGGTCAGCATCTGCCCAGCTGGTGGCCTCAGGAGGCAGGGGGGGAGAAATGCTGTTACCCCAGCCCAGCATGCAGAGTTTGAGCACGTATCGGCGGATGTAGATGTTGTAGACGCGCCCCAGGAGCAGGTAGAGGTTGAAGCCTTCAATGGCCATCCATGTGAGGCAGCTGAGCAGTGCGAAGTGTAGGGTGGCGGCCAGTACGGTGCACACAGTCCCAGGCATGACCAGCGCAGAGCTCAGAAGGAAGGCCACATTCAGGAGCAGCACAGAAACGTGCAGGTTCATGTGGATACGTGTGATGGGGTCGCTCTGCTTCCTGCATGTGGGGAAGTATGGTCCTCCATGGCCCGGGGACATCACCACACAGTGCCACCCCTGGACTCCCAGATATGCGATGATGGAGAAGCTGAGGCTGATGGGGAGGGACCCAACAGTAGTCAAACTGCAAGGCTGATCTTTGGTTCCATCACCCTAGGAGACCAGAGAGAGCAGGAGAGGTGCCCACTGGCAGTGGGCTAGGCAGGCTGGCACCAAGGCAGGGGAGTACCTGGCATGGATGTGCAGAAGGATGGTGATCAGCGAGGCCAGGATAGAGATGCTGCAGCCCACGAGTGAGATGTATTTCAGAGGTGCCAGCAACTCTGCCGGGAGCCGGGCCGGGGAAAGTTGCTGCAGGTGGGAAGGGAGGCTAGGGGAGATCCGAAGCATGCAATGCCCTCCCCAGGCTCTGTCAGAAGGACCAACCCAGACCTCAGCTCCAAGCCCCTTCCCCGCAGCCCAGCCCAGTCCTGGTTTGAAGGAAGCCATGACAGACATGATGACTTTTGCCCCCTCCACTTCTATCCTTCCTCCTTCCTCACTCTATGCACATAGGTGGGAGAGCACCACTGCATCTAGATGGATGCAGCAGGCCTTGCCAATCAGAAGCCTTCCTCCCTCTGTCCACAGAAGGGATGAGCATATGACACATCAAGCGTGCTGGAGTCAATCTCTAGACTGGTTGGCAGAACTGGAGGGCCTGGCACTTTACTGTCCTGAAAAGCTAGCAGGACGTGAACCTGAAATCAGTGTCAACCAAATTTTTATCCCATGGGGGCATTCTATCTGAGGGCCAAGCCAGGAAAGAGCAAACAAAGCTGAGGACCAGAGACAAAGTCCTGTCTTAGGGATATCCAGCCCCTAGATCAAGCCATGCCTAAAGGCTAATCCCACCTTTTTAAAGAACATGAGTCCCTGAGTTTGCTTTTGTGTATATGGCTTAAGCCTATTAGAGTTGGATTTCTGTCCCTCGCACCAGCTTTTGCCTGGCTCCTCTGCCACAGCCCTGGAGCTTTCTGCAGCTCTGACTCCCCCACTCGGACACACATACCATGAGAACAGCGAAGTAGGTGAGGTGTTTGCAGTGACAGAGCACCTGAGAAGGTGAGGGCTGCTCTGTGTGGCAGCCCTCGGGGCTCCAGGTCCCCACACTGCTCTCAGCTTCCTCCTTCCAGAAGACACAAGTCAGCGTGTAGTGTTCCTGAGGGGAGAACACAGGGTCAGTCCCAGGGGTACAGGGAGGGGTGGCAATCAGGGTCTAGAGACCAGGGGGTCCAGGGAGACTCAACTGTATCCTTGTCAACATTTTATGGGCACTGACCAGACTGTGATACTCCTACATCAGCCCCTCCTCCACCACAGACCCTCAAAGTGACATGAGCCCCAGTTTATTTTCTGAAAAATGGGACAATGCACATACAAGTCACAAGGCTGATGGGAAAATGAAAGGCACGTAGCATCTTGAGGGCCCTGCACTGGGTTTTCGGATGGCAGGTACTCTATAAGTTCTGTCCTCTTCTCCCTCCTCCCCATGGGACATGGATAATCCAGATGCAGGTCCAGAGTGGAAGAAGACTAGTTCACAGCCAAGCCACATGGTAGAGGGGTGGGGGACATGACACAGGCAGTCTCCAGGGACAGAAGGGGCATCAAGGCCTTAGAGAACAAGTGGAGCAGGGGCATTCATTCTAGGCAGAGGGGACAGCAGTGGTAACGCCCAGAGAGTGGGAGGAAAGGATGAGATGAAATGGAGAGTCCAGGGCCGTCCTGACAGACTGGAGGGTGGGCAGAGCCAGAGAGCAGCACTCTAGGTTTTCCAACCATGCCAGCATTGGAAAGCAGAGGCTTCAGGGCTTGTGTCCACCTGGCAGCCCGTCTCCCTTGTTCCAGCACCAGCGCTTCCAATGGGGACTTTTTCTCCACCCAGGCCTGGCCAATGAACACATTCCTGGTGCAGGGACAGACACAGCACCCAGCTAAACCTTTACGGCCCTGAGATCCTGAATTGCAGTGATGGGGAAGAACTTTCTGGCAAAAGGGGAAGGAAGCATCCATATTGCTGTAGAATGGAAAGCCAAGGCAGGAAACCATTGCTGAGAATGGAGAAAGACTGAACCATAATGCATTGGACCAACCTCTGGATCCAGCCATGCCTGATCCAGACTGAACCATGCCTGGTATCAGACCACCCCTGGACATTTCATTTGGGTGGAAGTGGAGTGGGATTTGAACTCAGGGCTTCACGCTTGCAAAGCAGGCGCTCTACAACTTGAGCCACACCTCCAGTCCACTTTGCTCGGTTATTTTGGAGATGGGGGTCTCTTCAACTATTTGCTCAGGTTGGCCTTGAACTGTGATCCTCCCAATCTCAGTCTCCCAAGTAGCTAGGATTACAGGTGTGAGCCACATCGCACCCAACCAGATGGTCCTCTCTATCACTAGTGACTGCAAGGAGCCTGGCAAATACAATGAGTAAAAGCTTCCTTCTTATTTCTTTGGCAGGAATTTTCAAAGTGTGATGGATGAAATTAGTTGTTGTCAAGATGGTCCCACAGGTTTGAGTTTGGAAGAACCGATGCCCCACAGAGGGGCAGGGGTGGAGTGGAAACGGGGTTCCCCAACAATACCAGGCTTTGGTTGTGCCAGAAGCTGATGTTGACAGGCTCACTGAGATTGTTCACATGTGTGTGGTCCAGCTGGGCCCCCAGGACATAGTTATTGAGCAAGGTTGAGTTCTTGTTATCCTGAAAGGGCAGTGGAAAAAGGGCTGAGTGGAAGAGACCTGGAGGGACCCTGGATGAGGCCAGAGCCCTCCTTTCCCAGCCTCTTGTCTCAGCTATGCCTCTGTGCCTGTCTCCCATCTACAGACAGGCACTACATGCTAGTTTGCAATTGCACCTCCCTAAAACTGGCGGGGAAACTGAGGCCCAGAGAGGTGCAATGGCCGGCTCAGGTTACACAGTTGGCCTGTTACGCTTGATGCTGGTCCCACCCAGAGGCCCAGGTGTGGCACAGAGACCCTCAGTGCCCCAGGAAGGGACCAGCACTCCCTCTCCTCGGCCACCCTCTGCTGACCTGGAAAAACCGGGGTGTGAAGAAGTAGATGCAGATGAGCCTCAGCTCTGTGAGCCGTGTCCTGCAGGCATCCCACGTCAGCTCTGCCGGGAACTGCATAGCATGTCGTGCCCTGGCCTGCAGAGGGCCATGGACAGGTAAGCCTGGTGTCCAGGGCCTGTACATCCTCCCCATAATGTCTCCCAGCCTCACTTGGGGGCCTCCACCCGCAGAAGCCACAGGCTGCACCTTCTCCCATAGCCCCCCAAACCCCACACACCTTGGACCACTGGCCAGGCATCCAGCCATAACATAGCACACTAAGATCCTAAGAAGACCCAGGGTTCCTGGCCTCTCCCAATGCTGCCACCCCCAGTGACCTGCCCTCCACCTGCCTCCGGACAAAGCAGGAGGAAGGCACTGTGCTTGAGGGGCTACAGAGCACCCTTTTCCCCTCGTCCATATAGCAACATCACTCCATTCCTTGCCAGTTAGGCAGCACCTGGATGGGGGCAGGGTTAGTGGGGCCTGGGAATTCAGGCCCTTAAACCCTGCAGGGCCTCCAAGCAGAGGCAGCTAGCCACCCATCTTCTGGTCCTTCACCTCTGACCTTGGGGACCTGCTCCGGGGCAGCACTGCTCAGGGAGAGGCCAGTGAAGTTGCAATCTAACTTGAAGACCAGAGAGTGAATGGAGTCCTTCTGCAAAGTGAGGTTGTTGCCATGGAAACTGACGTTCAGCAGCATCTGCTCCAGGTGCTGGACATGCCTGAGGATGGGACACCCGGCCAGAGGGACCAGAGAAGTGGTGGCTGAAGACAGCCTGGGAGGGCAAGACTTCCAGTCCCCCAACCCACAGCTTTGCACACTCGGTGTGCAAACTCACAACCTCAATCACAATCTGATCACCCCCATCCCCACCAGAGTCTTCAAGCCCCTGCCCAGGAAAATGTGGAGAACCACTTGGTTTCATGAGCCCCGTGGTCAACAGCCCCACCCTCAGCAATAAACACCAAGAGGACAGTGACATGTCCATCACACATTTCCAGAGCCCAGTGCCAGGCACACAGTAGGTACTCAGCAACTGCACACTGAATGCCAGCCCAGGACCACTGATGGGGTGTTGGGGAGGGAGGCTCAGCTCACTGGGCAGTGTGGACACCCCACTCACCCAACAAGAGACATTGCTCTCCGGCCTAGGGGCCCTGGGGGCCGCTCCATGTACTCCATCCACCTCAGGATTTCTGTCGACGTTACTGTGGGCAGTGAGCAAGGCTCAGACCCCAATCAGCAGCCCCCCCCACACCACTGACCACCTCCCTACTACCTGACCACCTCTGGGCTCAGCAGAGCTGTCTTACTTGCTATTGCACTGTGAGAAGTCAGAAGACACAGGCAGAAGGAAAGGGCTCTGCAGCAATCCATGGCCTGGGCCCAGGTCTCCTCCAAGACCTGGATCTCGCCCTGGAAAAGGTGACACCATCATCATTATGGCAAAAGAGTCACCTATGCCTTCTGAACAACTATAGCAGAGCTGAGGTTTGAACTCAAGACCTCATGCTTATGAGGCAGACGCTCTACCACTTGCAGCACCTTATTGGCTCTTCACCACTCCTCATTTCACAGCTGAGGAAACTGAGTCTCAGAGGGCAAAGGGTGTTGCTTTGCCTGGAGGCACCAGAAGCCAGGTCTCTGACTCTAGAACATGTAACTGCTGAGAAGTAGCTGCAGTTAGCAGCTCAACCTGAGATACCTGTCCCAAAAAAGGGTCCCTCCAGAGACTCCCCAGGCCCCAACCTTACCCAGAGGGAAAACTGCTATCGAGCAAGCAACATGTAATCCTGACCTGTCCCATCAGTTACTCCCATGTGTAAGCGTCTCTCTCTCTGCCCTCATTTTCCTTGTGTTTAAAATGAACAAACAGCTGGGTACTGGTAGCTCACATCTATAAGCATAGCTACGCAGGAGACAGAGATCAGGAAGATCATGGTTCAAAGTCAGCCTAGGCAAATAGTTAGTGAGACCCTATCTCAAAAATACCCAACACAAAACAGGGCTGGTGGAGCAGCTCAAGTGGTAGAGCACCTGGTTAGCAAGCATGAGGCCCTGAGTTCAAACCCTAGTACCACCAATAAATAAATAAAATGAACAAATAAACTTCTGCTTAAATATAGCAAATTTATGTCTACCTCCAGAACCTTGCCGAAAGGAGGATGAATGAATAAAACAGTCACAAAGCCACAAAGACAGAACAATGGAAAAGAAGGAAATAGCAGAGATGAGAAGTGACAGCAAAATTTGAAGGCTATCAAGCAGGTGACCACCTGGTAATAAATCTGCCAGACTCTTAAAAGTCAAACCCAGGTCCCTGCAGTGGGGGGAAGTGCGAAGAGCTGGGGACAGAGAGACAAGGAGAAGCCAATTAGCTCAAGCCTCATGATCTGGGAAGCCCTTAGAAGAGGAGGCATCTGGAACCTCTGAAGTGGAGGTGAAAGCTGAGGCTAGCAACGGGATTTTTGGTGTGTCACTAAAATGTTCATCATAGTCCCCAGGTCACCTCTGCTCCCTGGTGTCCAGCAGCCTTCCTTGTCACCTGCGCCAATCCTACTTCAGCACAAAGCTCACTCCTAGAGAGGATGCACCATGGAGCATCATGGGGGAAGGGAGGGTGCCATCTTGGTACAGAGAATTAAGCCACATCTCCTCCCCACCTCCTTTCCTACTCACCTTCCACAAGGCTGCAGCAGCCAGGGTTATACCCCAAATCAAGGGGAGATTCGATTCTGAAGATCTGAGCGTTCCAAGGAAGTTATCCTGGAGCTACGAGCATTTTGGCGTTCTTCGGGGAGATAGCCCAGACCTAACTTAGGGTACAGCTTCACCAGCATCAAACACGGTCAAGCAACGGCGTTGTTAGTGCTCCGCTGTTAAGGACCTATAAGCGGTCAACCAAGTATTGCTGGGCATTTTTAAATAGGCCACCCTTTCTCAGGAAACTGCTGGAGGATGTGCTCCAAGAAAATGAGGGAGTAAGTCACAAAAGAAGACAGAGGGTTCAGGAAGCTCCACCATGGGAGAGGTGAAGCTATGCCCCATCCAATGTGTGAAGAAAAGGCCCAGGCTGGTGGCTGATGACAGGACCAGGACACATCCTGTCCAAAGGGGGCAGGAGAAAAGAAGGCTCCAGAAGAAAGGCCTTGAAGAAAAAGAAAAGAAAGAAAAGGAGAATATTCAACAGGTTTTAATATCTGCCTATCTGACAGGTTTGAATGCATGGAAAAATTACTTTGAGAGATGTCTTACAAAAGCTTATGAACAAAAAATAAAAAGAAGCAATTGATTTTAAGAGAACCAAGTCCTATAAGAAAGGAAATGTATCCTAGCTATTCAGGAGGCAGAGATCAGGAAGATCTCAGTTCAAAGCCAGCCAGGGCAAATAGTTCTGTGAGACCCTATCTCAAAAAAATCTTCACAAAAATAGGGCTGGTGGAGTAGCTCAAGGTGAAGGCCCTGAGTTCAAGCCCCAGTACTGTAAAAAAAGAAAAAAGAAAGAAAGAAAGTGTAATCTTGTTACACAACTAACTAGGAAATAAAATTTGCATAATCAGAAACATCAAAAGAGAAATTATTTAAATATAAGTGGGGTGTTTTGGGGGGGACAGTATTGGGGTTTGAATTCAGGCAGGTGCTCTACCACTTGAATCATTCCTCCTTGGATTTTTTGTTTCTTTTTTTGAGGCAGGGTCTCACCATAGACCAGGCTGCCCTCAAACTTGCTCTGTAGCCAGGCTGGCCTCAAATTCATAATCCTCCTGCCTCAGCCTCCTTTGTGCTAGGATTATAGGCATGCATCACCACACTTGGCTTCTTTCTTCTTTTTTCTTTTTTTTTCTTTTGTGCTACTGGGGTTGAATTCAGGACTGCGTGCTTGCTAAGCAGGCACTCTGCTACCTGAGCCGTGCCCCAGCCCTTTTTGCTTTATTTTTCCAATAGTCTTGCATCAGCCTGGGCTGGCCTGGACCTTGATTCTCCTATTTACACTTCCTGAGTAGCAGGGATGACAGACAAACGCCATCATGCCCAGCTTTTATTGGTTGCGATTAGTTCTCACTATATAGCCCAGACTGGCCTCAAACTCAGAATTCTCCTGCCTCAGACTCCTGAGTGCTGGGATTACAAGGGTGTGCAACTATGCCAGGTTTAATAAATTTATTTTTACATTACATGAAAACCATATTAAAATTATCCCTACTTCCACTTAGGACATAGAAAGCCACAAGAGAACACCACTCTGTCATGCCAAGGGAAAAAACCCATAGTACACAATATCCCTTTTTTTAGTGCATTGGATAGCTGAGGGACGAGATGACCAGTGAACCAGTTTCTAACGGTAAGCAGAACACAATAGCACTGATTCAGGAAACACCTGAACTGCTTCACCTTTGACAGAGCCATAGGACACAGTGATTCCCACAAAAGTAGATCCAAAGCAAATAACTGATACCTGAGTGAGTGCTTAACAGCTAGAGTGGCCATTCAGATCCCCTGGGAGCCCAGATTCAAGGAGAACCCAGAGCTCCTAGACAGTTCTTTCTCACAGTCCTCCCCCTGGGAATGACAACGACAGGAGGGACGGGGCCTAAGGACACCTCCTGATGACATGGGCCTGCAGGACCTGCCAGCAATTGACAGGTCTATGGATCAATCGAGGGTGGAGCAGCAGTACCTGGAGAAGCTTCTCTGAGTTCTGGGCCCAGCCTGAGTTCAAGGTGCTGTTGGCTGCTGCAGAGACACACCTATACGCGGGCCCTGCTGTGATGGGAGACTCCATCCCACAGGCCTCTGACCAGCACACTGCCAGGAAATGTCCTCTACCTGTGGTAGAAGGGTAGGACCTCCCTGCCACCCCACCCCCAGCACCGACAGTAAGCAAAAGGCATTTGACACTTTCAAGAAGCAGGGGCGCCATAGTGCCCAGATATAAAGCAGGGCAGCAGTGGTGGTGGCTGCTGGAGGAAGAGCCAAACCCTGCTCAAAATCAAGATGCTCCCACCAGTGTCCCCTTCCTTCCTCACCGCTCCACGTGCATCCCTCCCAAAGCAAGCCGTGCGCTCAGGCTAAGAGGACGACCGCCCCTGGTAGAGGAGGACTGTTCTTCGGTCAAGGGTATAGGAGTAGCTGCGCTCCCCTGCTAGAACCTCCAAACAAGCTCTGAAGATGCTCCCACCAATAAGGCAGTTAGGTCTCATGGGAGGGAGGGGCAGGAAATCTGTCTGCACTGCAGACAAATTGTATTGGAAACTAGAAACAGCAACTTTATCAAAGCCCCCATCCTGGAGCTCAAGGCTGTCTAAGACTGAAACTAGAGCAAGAGAACTGAGACTCCACTGTGTCTACTACAAACCTTGCACCAAGTGACAAGAAAAAGCTGCCTAAGCTGGGGAAAGGACTAGATCCCAAGAGATCCCCTCTGAGTTGCATGCATGCAAGGCTGAGAGTGGAGCAGGAAGACAGAGGAAAGCTTCATCGTGGGCCTCAAGGTCTCGAGCTAAAATAAAGTCCTGGCAGTCACCATTGGAGAAGTCTGAAGCCGAGGGTGCACAGAAGGTAGTGACTACCACAACGAGACCTAAACCCACATCAGCTACAGCTTGTACTAAAGACAGGAATGAGAAATGTGCCCATTTGTAGGAGTAAAGATCATTTCATCACCCGCTACTCTTCTTTTACACACAACACCTGGTAGTCTGTCAAAGATTAGACACACATCAAATCAGGTAAAAGAAAAGACCCACTGCCGAGATAAAAGAAGCCAGATAGAAGAACCGGTTCTAGACAGGGACTTTACTATGCTTATATGAATATGTTGAAGGGAAATGGACTTCCAAGAACAGATGGCAAATGGCAGGAAAGTGCTGGAGACTGTCATGGATAGTTATGGAAATGCTGAACACACAGACTCAGTACCAGTGGTGAAGTTCCTCAGTGGGTTTATCAGCAAAGGAAAGACCCAGTGAATTGAAAGATATAACACTATAAATTATCCCAACTGAAACACTGTGTTAGTTAGCTTTACATTACTGTTACAAAATACCTGAGACAATAACTTATTAAGAGAAAAGGTTTATTTTGGCTCAGTTTTGGACTAGGTGGCCCCATTGCTTTGGGCCTGGATGAGGCAACACATTGTGGCAGGGGCATGGGGCAGAGCAAAACCTCTAACATCATGATCCAGGGAGCAAAGAGAAAAAAAGGGGGAGAAGGAAGGGACTAGTCTCCCATATCCCCCTTGGAGACACACCCCCAGTGACCTAAGGGCTTCTCACTAGGCCCTACCTCTCAAACATTTCATCACTTTCCAGTGGTGTCACCTTGGGGATCAAGCCTTCAACACCTGGTCCTTTGAGAATCATACAACAGCTGAATGTAGCAAATATAAGGAATTCGAGTGGAAATGCGAACTA